TGTAAGGGAAGATCTTGTCTCACTAACCTGTTAGTGTTCTTTGAGGGAGTGAACAAACATGTGGACAAGAGGAACCCAAGAGATGTTGTTTACCTTGACTTCCAGAAGGTTTTTGATAAAGTTCCTCATCAAAGGCTTCTAAGTAAGCTCAATAGTCATGGGATAAAAGGGCAAGTCCTTTTGTGGATCAAAAACTGGCTAATTAATAGGAAACAGAGAGTGAGTATAAATGGGAAATTTTCTCAGTGGAGGGTGGTGAGCAGTGGGGTACCACAGGGATCAGTACTCTGTCCGATGCTTTTTAACTTGTTTAGTAATGATTTGGAATTGGGAGTAAGCACTGAAGTGATTAAATTTGCAGATGACATGAAGTTGTTCACGGTGGTAAGAACCAGGGAGGATTGTGAGGCACTTCAAAGGGATCTGTCGAGGATGGACGAGTGGGTATCGACATGGTAAATGGAGTTCAATGTGGTCAAGTTGGATGTGGCCAAAATGATAAACATTGGAGCCAAAAATCCTAACTATAAATACACGTTGATGGGGTCCCTAATTGAAGAGACTGACCAAGAGAGTGATCTTGGAGTCGTAGTAGATAATTCACTGAAAATGTCTAGACAGGGTGCGATTGCATTAAAAAAGGCCAACGCTATGCTGGGGATTATTAGGAAGGGAACTGAAAACAAATCAGCCAATATCATAATGCCTCTGTATAAATCAATGGTATGACCTCATTTGGAGTACTGTGTACAGTTCTGGTCACCACACCTCAAAAAGGATATTATAGCACTGGAAAAAGTGCAGAAATGGGCAACTAGAACGATAAAGGGATTGGAACACTTTCCCTATGAAGAAAGGTTAAAGTGCTTGGGGCTCTTTAGCTTGGAGAAATGAGGGCTGACATGATTGAGGTTTATAAGATTATCCATGGGATAGAGCAGGTAGAGAAAGAAGTACATTTCTTCCTTTCTCACAATACAAGAACTTGTGGGCACTCAATGAAATTGTTGAGCAGTCAGGTTAGAATGGATAAAAGGAAGTACTTCTTCACCCAAAGAGTGATTAACACATGGAATTCACTGCCACAGGCGGTGGTGGTGGCTGCAGGCATGGACGACTTCAAGAGGGAATTGTATAAACATATGGAGCAGAGGTCCATCAGTGGCTCTTAGCCACAAGATATAGATAGGAACTCTCGGTCTGGGGCAAGGGGTGCACTGTATTCTTGGTGCTTGGGGGGAGGGCAACAGTGGGAGGGCTTCTAGTGTCCTGGCCCCACTGCTGGACCTCCTGATGGCACCTGGTATTTTTGGCCACTGTGTGACAGAGTGTTGGACTGGATGGGCCATTGGTCTGATCCAACGTTGGGTTCTCTTATGTTCTTAAGAAATCAGAAGGGGTTTGAAACAGGGAAGGGCAGCCATGAAGGAACTAGAAAAGATCTTTAAGTGTAGGGATGTCACGTTGGCAACCAAGATCAAGTTAATTTGTCCCTTGATATTTCCTCTTACTATGTATGGGTGTGAAAGATGGACAATGAAGGAAGCTGACAAGAAGAAAGTTGTTTTCATTTGAAACGTGTTGCAGGAGAGTTTTATAGATACTGTGGAGTGCCAGAAAGACATACAAGTGTATTCTAGATCAAATCAAGCCTGAACTCACATTATGAGAAAACAAGAGTCGCTGGAAAAGAGAATAGTGCTAAGAAAAGTTGAAGGCAGCAGGAAAAGAGAAAGACCCGCCATAAGATGGATTGATTCATTCAGGGAAGCCATAGCTTTCAGTTTGCAAGAACTGAGCAAGGCTTTAATGACAGAATGTATTGGAGAATGTTAGTTCATAGGGTTGCCATAAGTTGGAGGCGACTTGGTGGCACTTTACACATGCAATATATATTACATAAATAGTGGGAGAATATCACCATTTGGGCATTTAGCAGAATAATTCCACAAGAGCATCATTGTGTGAACTTAGTCCACACAGGGCCATAGAGGCACCCCCTATCAAATTTGCGGCACCCCCACACACACACACACACACTCACTGCTCCCTGGTGAGATTCAGCCAGCTGCTTTTTCTCTCCCAACCGCCTAGCGGCTGCTTCCAATCTTCCCCTTCCTGCCTTGGGGAAAGTGGCAGCCCATGCTTTCCTCATGCCAGTGCGGCAGGTAGAGAGGGAAGCAGGTTGTGCTGCACAGCGCCAGGGGCCTCGGTCAAGCCCGCCACTGGAATGAGCTCTTGGGTGACCTGCTTCCTGCTGACCCTGGTTTGGTTCACCGTTGCCACCGTGCTCTGCTCCCTGCCTGGCCGAGAGCTTGGGGAGGCTCTGGTGGAGATTGGGGGCAAAACGAGGCTTTGATCCCCACTTCAGATGCTGCGCCCATTGGGGGCCGGTAGAGTTCCTGGCTGGCTGAGCCCTGGTAGCGGATGGCTGTGCCAGGGCTGTAGCCAGTGATGGCGCACTGAGGGCAGTGCCCCCTATCGAATTTGCAGCACCCCACTCACTGGTCCCTGGCGAGATCCAGCTGGCTGCTGCTTCCATCTTCTGCCCTGGGGAAAGAGGCAGCCTTTGCTTGCCTCGTGTCGGTGCTCCTGCGGCAGGGAGGGAGGGAAGCAGGCTGTGCCATGCAGTGCCGGGGCCCCCAGGTCAAGCCCGCTATTGGAAAGAGCTCTTGGACGAGCAGCTTCCTGCTGCCGCTGGCTCGGTTTGCTGTTGCCACCACACTCTGCTCCCTGCCAGGCCAAGAACTTGGGGAGGCTTTGGTGAGAATTGGAGGCAAAGTGAGGCTTTGATATCCATTTCGGACACTGCGCCTGTTGTGGGCATGTGGAGTTCTTGGCTGGCTGAGTTCTGGCAGTGGGTGGCTGTGCCAAGTGCGGCAACTTTTGAGTGTTTCGAGTTCCTTGGAAAATGCTTTGGGGGGGAGGTGAGGAAAATTGATCTGCCCTGGAGGAGAAGAAAGGGCTGGGGATTTAATTGGTGGCACCCTGTTGCCCCCCCCCCCCGGAAAAAAAATCCTGGCTGAGTCCACATGTCCTTGGTCACTGTCTTGGTTCTTGTAGGGAGTCATGTGAAGTAGCACTGAGATACTGAAATTATGACTATATGCTAATGGGGTTAATTCTGATTGAACTCACTGCAAGGTGCATGCATCTGCGTGTGGATAAAAAGAGCAAAACAGAGTGAGATGTAGGTTTAATGGAAGACAGTGGTACATTCCTTCATGATGTCATCTAATGTAATGAATAACAGCGTTAATTATATCTTTTAATACAGAAACAACTTCCTGCGGCTCTGTGTTCTGAAAGTTACTCAGCAGAGTGAAAAGCACTTGGAAAAGATCCTGAATGTAGATGAATTTGTGAAAAGAGTTTTCTCTGTTATTCACAGCAACGATCCCGTCGCTCGAGCCATCACGCTCAGGTAGGCATATTTAGTGGGCAAGAGCCTGGCTGGATGTTAATTTATTGCTAGTACTTGTCAATACAGTAACAACAAGATTGAGGTTTGGGTGTGCATGTGCCTCAGTTATCCTGCTTATACTGTACACAGCACCTCCAGAATTGTTGATTGTCTTAAATGACTGCAGATTCAGTTTGGAGTGTCACCCTTTTGGCAAGCTTATTTCTCCCCACTTTTTATTGTCCAGGATGTTAGGGAGTATGGCATCCATAATCCCAGAGAGGAAGAATGCACATCACAGTATTCGCCAGAGCTTGGATTCACACGACAACGTTGAGGTTGAAGCGGCTATATTTGCTGCAGCTAACTTTTCTGCCCAGTCCAAGTAAGCAGAACTTCAGTGCTTTCATCTGTTGCAGGCTACTCTTTGCTGTTGCTTTGGCTCTTCTTAATACATCTAATATTTCATGAAGATCATTATGTGAACAAACTGTAATGTTAATTAGCCTCACAGCTAAAAGGCGTAAAAACAGCATCGGTCTTGCCGATCCCTTTTTCATTTCAGGTTGTCTGACATTTTATTTTTTCCTCCTTTTTTGGCAGAGATTTTGCTGGAGGGATATGTAACAAAATCAGTGAAATGATTCAAGGTATGTATGTTTTATCCAATAATTAACAAAAAGCAATGAAACTTCTTTTGCTGTTATTTTTCATGTTCATGCTTTGGGGTGGTTAATACGGACAGTTTTCTGTCTTCTCTCTATAAGAGTAGGTTTTCTTTTGTTACGATATGTTGTGTGCTTGAAGGGACATTTGGTTTTTAAAATATGTTCTAAAGAATAGTGACTGCCTTTTAACATTTTCATCTTTCAACAAAAACAACACAAACCTTTATTGGCACATCATTGGTGTGATGTGGTCCATGGGGTCACGAAGAGTCAGACTCGACTGTGCAACTGAACAACAAAAACTATCAATTTTTATAACAGGTTGGAATGTCTTGATCTGCATGCTATGTATTTAAGATTTACTTTGAAAGTTATTGTTCCTGTAGGTTTAGCCACTCCTGTAGACTTAAAGCTGAAGCTGATCCCCATCCTGCAGCACATGCATCACGATGCCCGCTTGGCCTCCAGTGCCCGTCAGCTACTCCAGCAGTTGGTGACTTCCTACCCTTCAACCAAGATGGTCATTGTTACTTTGCACACCTTTACCTTGCTGGCTGCATCTTCTCTGGTTGACATTCCCAAACAGGTAACACATTTATTGGTGAAAGATCTGTTGCCAGCATTGTATAGCTTAAGGAATAAATGAAATCTGTGTAGTGATTTTTGGGGTGTCATCAGGTTCAAACATTTCAAGCCTGATTTTGCACCCCTAAAGGCTAGAAACCCGTTTCATTTTATAGGAAAGCTGAAATTATTAGGAAGCGGACGTCTTTTTCTTCTCTGTACTGTGTTCTGTGCTTGTGCGAATGACAGACTACCTTAACTCTGCCTGTTGGGCATCTACTGTGTTCATACATAAAATAAGTAAGGATGATCTCACCATGTGTGAGGCTTTGAGAGCCAGTTTGGTGTAGTGATTAGGAGCGCGGACACTAATCTGGGAAAACCAGGTTTGATTCCCCACCAGTGTTCCCTCTAAGCTGAGTTAGTGTGAGCTATCTCACAGTTTTTTAGCCTCTGGCTCACACATTTTTGTCTTAGCTCAGGAAGGATGGCTCCAGAGCAAACTAATATATGCAGTAGCCAAATCACTCACAACTTTAATGCCAGCAGCTCACAAAGTAGAATTTACGCTTACAAGACTCCACAGTTTAGTGGGAGTATTGTTCCCCACTCCTCTACTTGCAGCTGCTGGTGTGACCTTGGGTCAGTTCTTTCAAGGGCAGTTCTGGAGAGAGCTCTCTCAGCTCCACCTATCTCACCGGGTGTCTGTTGTGGGGAAGGGAAGGGGATTGTAAGATGCTCTGAGACTCGTTCAGGTAGTGAAGGGCGGGGTATAAATCCACTCTCCTCTTCTTCTTGTGCCATCAAAGCTGCAAAAAGTTTGGAATTTTGATTGCACCCAAAATATTTTTAAGCTTAATCAATTATACTTGTATACATACTGAGAACCTGAAGGAAGGCATTAAAAAGGCACTTAATTACAAAAAAAAAAATACCTTGTTGCAGATTCAGCTCTTACTGCAGTATCTGAAGAATGACCCAAGAGAGGCTGTGAAAAGGCTGGCTATCCAGGATCTAAAGTTACTTGCAAATAAAACCCCACATACTTGGAGCAAAGAGAATATTCAGGTATGTAAACATAATTTTTGCTACGGACAGATTGCACATAGCCGCATTTGTCCAAACACAAAGCTATGCAATACCTTCTAATTAGGACCAGCCCAGTGAGAGCCAGCGTGGTGTAGTGGTTAAGAGCAATGAACTCTAATCTTGAGAACTGGGTATCGATTCCACACTCCTCCACATGAAACCAACTGGGTGACCTAGTCTCTCAGCCTCCAAACAAGTCTAGCACACCGCTAAAAGAGCTAGAACTTAAGGCTGCCGGACAGTCTTAGGATCTCCTGGCTCTACTACACACAGTGCCATATGATAATTATTATTAATTTTTAATTAAGTAATTATGAGGACCGATTCAAATGTTTGACCCCAATAATAAAAGGTATTATATCTTTCGTTATTGCATTTTATCAAGAAACTGGACAGGTAAATGTAGTTCTTTTCCTTTGCAGAGAGACTGCTTCTTGCTTTTGTCTTAGGGTGTTGTTTTATTAGCAGATCATGCCGTGCTTGTCATCAAATGGAGGGAGACGCTTCTTCACACTCCTGCCATAACATACAATGTGACAAAGAAAAAGGCACAAAGTGTTGATTCCTCTTTGCATGAAGGCTAGTTTCAAGCATGTTAAAGGTGCATGATAAAATTAACACATTGATCTAAATTAGCCACTGATAGGCAGTCTCGTCCAGCCTCCAGATAATCACCCGTATTTACTTATTTCCTTCTGGCTGTTTAAGAAGCTAGCCATAAGTAGCTTTAGGAAGGTTAGTCGGTAGCAGAAAATGACTTAGTTGCCCCTGTCCTCTCAGGACAGTATGTGCACTGGATAAGCTTTCAGCCTCACCAAGTTTATGAGTACCTAGAAGGAGAAGGGGCGGAGAGAGTTGACACTTCACCTTATATTCTGGAATATTTAGGGAACCCTGCTTTGGGGACAGCTTTCACCTCAGTTTTCTGTCCTTTCCTCTGCCCTTCTTTCTCTATTTTAAAATAATTCATCTCTGGCTGTCATGTACCTCAACTAGAGATGTGAAGGCTCATGGAAAAGAGTCAGAAACATTCAGGAAAAAAATGCCCCCCCCTTTTTTCTGTGGCCTTTTTTCCGGTTTTTCTGATGGGAAAATTGGAAGTTTGGGGGAATACTGAAAAAACCTCTTGTAGAGTGAGTGAAGTGCTTTTAAAGACAAGGTAAGCGTGCTGTAGATATATGTGTGTGTGTCATCAAGTCGCTTCTGACTTATGACTGTAGATATATAAAGGAGTATTTTTGTACCTAGAAAGATACTTAACCTTCATGAGGGGAGCATGTTTCTCAGTTGTTGTATGCCTTCTGCTATCCTTTTGACGTGATTCTTCCCTGATGATTGACCTTTTTACCTCACCTTCAAAGCACTGTGCAGGTATACCTACAGATTGGGTAACAAGCAATTTATTGCCCTAAAGTAGTGTAGGATGCACCAGCTTGCAGTTTTCTCTCAAGTATTGGGTATATTTGTAGTTTTGCTTGTAGAAAACTAAGGCCTTTTAAATTCCATAAATAGTCAAATATTGCAGTTTTATATGCTAACTTATAAATGATGCACTTTGTGATGTTAAAGCAGTAAAATTAGCCTACTTGATAAAATAATAAGTATTGCATATATTATGACTTCCTTCCCAATTTTATTTTTTTTTTGGGGGGGAATTGGGGAGAAACTACTTTTTTGGTGTTTTCAAAATTTTCAGAAATTGTACATCTCTAACCACAGCTGAACCTGACCTGGATAACCCAGGCTAGACTGATCTTGTCAGATCTCTGATGCTAAGCAGGGTCAGCCCTGGCTGGTGTTTAGATAGGAGACCACCAAGGAATACCAGGGTCATGACATGGAGGCAGGCAAAGTCGGCTGTGGCTTGATGGCAAACAACAGCAACAACAAACCTCAGCTAAGAGAAACTCATTCCAAGAAACCTTTGATTCCTCAGGAGAGGAGCTTCAGGAAAGTTTTCCATGGTCTAGAGGCAGGAAGGTCCTGTGTGCCTAAATGATTGGCCACAAAAAAGTGGTCAGGTCACAGAGCAAAACCTGCGGCACTTGCCTCCAACTCAGAGGCTTAGGAGCATTCCTAAGGTGTGCTAATGGTCAGCTTCAGCACCAGATTGGCATCGCAGCTGGAATGTCCCAGATGGGACCAGTATTCAGCTTAATTCACCACGGGAATGCTCTTATTGTCAAGGACAGCGGGATTAGTTGTCCTTCCTATGATGGTCGCCAAACAGAAGTACCTCTGTCCTTTATGGGAGAGGAAAATACACCTAACAGTGCCTCCTAACATTGCCAGTTTGATTGTGGCAATTTGTGGCCCAAGAGCTGGCCTCTGGATTCGTAATGGAGCAAGCATTTATTTCCAGAGGAAGAAAACACCTCAGAAAACTTATTAAAATTTGTCTGGCCAGGTTTGGGCCTGAAGAAACCAATTCAGCCAGATTGAAGTCCAGTAGCATCTTAGAGACCAACAAGATTTTTGGAGTATAAGCTTTTGAGAGTCAAAGCTCCCATCATCAGATACAAGTTGGAATGGAGATCCCAGAGGCCTTATATCCCAGTCAGAAGGTGAGAGGGGTCACGAAGAAGGAACTGAGGATGCAGAGATACAATGCACGTTGTAATCAGCTACATTAGAGCAGAGGGGCAGAAAATTACCATCTGTCATGAGATAAGGTAATGATGTGGATAGCCCAGACTAGCCTGATCTCATCAGATCTTGGAATCTAAGCAGGATTGACCCTGGTCAGTATTTAGATGAGAGACCACCAAGGAATACCAGGATCGCTATGGAGAGGCAGACAATGGCCAAACCAACACTGTTAATCTCTTGCCTTGAAACCGCTACGGGGTCACCATGGGTCGGCTATGATTTGAGGGCAAAAAGAAAAAAAGATAAGAATCCTATGTCCCTATTCAGCAGTGGGGGGGGGGGGGTCTGTTGTTCTGAACTTGTGAAGAACTCAAGTTCATTCAGTTCAATTCAGGTCACCCACTAGAGGTTACTAAGATTGCAATGTCTGCACAACCTCACAAAGCCAGCAGGGAGCAGCAAAGATATTCTGGCTGACTACAATAACTAGGAAGCCCTCTCAGCCCAGAGTTTTGTCTAGTTTATGCATACAAGCTAGATCAGATGTTGGCTTCTCACTGCTTGAGTTTGTGATTCAGTATTTCTTAAGAAGGAAGCTGTCTGATGCAAGCTTGACCCAGACTTCTGTTTCTCAGGAATATCTTCTTAATTTAATTGCCACAAAAATGAGTTCTTGGATCCTCCAGAGAACAGTCCTCTGCCTCGGGACCAGAAAGTCTGTAAAGGTCCCTAAAAGGTGTTCTCTAGAAGGAAAGGATCAGATTGACTTTTTTCCATTTTTTTTCCCAAGAAGGAGATTGGACAGGAATGGTTCTTTCTCCTTGCTCACAAATTCAGCACTGAGCATTTTAAGAGGTTGGGCTTTTTTTCTAACAGAGCAGTGAAGTTTTGTTTTAGGTTGGTAGCTGATGTAATGATCCAAATTGCATGACTCAGCTCACCCTATACATGATACAAGAGGTCTCAATGTGTGCCATACAAGTTTCAGAGGCAAGTTTCCTCATTGCCCAGACTTCTGTGATGTGGGCATGTAAGCTGCTAAATGACATTCTAGCTATAAACAGGGAGAATACACTCAGAGCAGCCACTTTTATGGCAGATGTCAGCCTTCGTGTATGAACAGAGCATCTACAGTTACGGCTTCTGCAGCTGTAAGTGGCAAAAACGTGTGCAGTGTGGGAAGGTGTTCAGTGCCAACAAATCATTGCCAAGTTATGGTGATCCTATCAATCAACAACCTCCAAAATGTCCTATCATTAACAGCCTTGTTCATATCTTGCAAACAGAGGGCTATGGCTCTCTTGTTTGATTTAATCCATCTCATGTTGGATCTTCTGCGAAGTATAAGTCCCCACTCCAGTGCTGAAGTATCCCAGCTCCAGTGACAAAGCATCTGGAACAAGGGAATAAACAGGCAAGTTTAGCAGACGTGTGAGTTTAGCAGGAGGGTGAGAAAGGCAGGGCACTAATTTCTCCATGTCCATAATTGAGTAAGCAGACTTTCCACAAACAGATCTACATAAATAGGGAATTTATGAAAACAAGGATTTTAAAGAAAGCAACTATGAAGGTAGAATGCCAATGGGGTTGGGGGCTGTCTAGTGTATTGCACTGAATGCAACATGTATGACTGTCTGCCAGCTGGACAGAAGTTATGGGTGTATGCTTGGTGCAAGGAGCTCCTAGTTCTCAGGGAACAAGTTTGCAGCCTCAAGGCCAAGGTGGCTGATCTGGAGAAGCAGAGACGGTCAGATACATCAGTCTCTGTCTCACTCTGAGAATGGCAGCCCCGCTGCTGTCAGGGAGCATTAAGGTCAAGGGGAAACAAGGCACCATGCTGAAGAAAGGGGGAATGTTTCCTCAGAAGGGACTCCTTCTGCAGTTGGTCCACAGGTATTCTTTTACACCAAGGAACCATCTCGGGGCAGGGAGGGAAGGGGGGCTCTTGGTAGCTGGTGATTTGATCCTCAGGCATGTAGATAGATGGGTTGCAAACCCACATTCTGACCGCATGGGTGACTTGCCTTCCTGGTGCGAAGGTAGCAGACATTATGTGTGGTCTAGATAGGCTGGTAGACAGGGCTGGGGAGGAGCCAGTGGTCATGGTACATGTTGGTATCAACAGTGTGGGGAAATGTAGTTGTGTGGTCCTGGAGGGAACATTTAGGCTTCCAGGAAGGAGACTCAAGGCCAGCACTTCTCTGAAGTGCTATCTGTTCCACATGCAGGGTCAACTAGACAACTATAAATTAGGAGTCTCAATGTGTGGATGAGACAATGGTGTAGGGAGGAAGGGCATATGTTTGTTAGGCACTGGGACACTTTGGAACAAGCAGGACCCGTGCAAAGCAGACGGCCTCCACTTTTCCCAAGAAGGAACCAGGCTGTTG